CTGAAGCAGGCTCCAGGCTCCGAGCTGTAAGCACAGAGCCCAACGTGGGGCTCAGACTCACAGACTGTGAGATCGTGACCTGAGCTGAAGTCGGACACTTAACCGACTGAGCCGCCCAGGCGCCCACCGTGTCCTCATCTTTATAAAGAAAGGATGGGGTGAAGATCAAGCATATTATTGAGACCATACTTTTGGCCTTTCCAATGGCAGGGAGAGACAATTATAGAATCATTGACTTAGGAGTGACCTTACAGTTTACCCAGGAACATCCAGCCTCTCTCTTGAGTGCCTGGTGATAAGCTCTGTATTTCTATCAATTTAATAGAAATGAGAACATGACATTTTTGGACATCTGCACATATTCTATTCAGCTAAATCAAAATCTCTTTAAAAAGGTTCCATCACAGACACCACACTCAACACATTGAGTCTCTTTTCCAGATGGTGGCCACACTGACTTTCTTTCTGTTCCTCAAACTTGCCAGATATGGTCCTGCCTCAAGGACTTTGCTTTAGCTATTCCCTGTGCCTAGAATGCTGGCACGCCCCATATCTGCATGGCATATTCCTTTATCTCCTTCAAGACTTTGCCCAGATGTTATTTCCTCGTGAGGCCCTTGCATTCCGTTCAGCATTATCCACCCATCTACCCCCAGCGCCCCTTCCTCTTCTTTCCATAGCATTTACCACCTTCACACTGGGTCAGTTACTAGTTTATTACCTAGTGTGTACCCAGCCTTGCTAGAATTGATAAGCTCAGTGAGATGAGACATATTTGTCAATTTTGTGTACTCATGAATCCGGACTACCAGCATAGTACTGGCACATGGCAAATACTCATTTAATATTTATTGAATAAATGTGTTTATGTGGGGAATTAACCCATAACACATTGTTAAAATTTTGAATGGAAGCGTGGAATGGTTTCACTTGTATAGTTCCTTAAGGTAATGTGTTACTTTGTAGATGTGTACAAGCGGTTATGCAGAGAAAAGGGTCCATACCTACGTAAACTGTTAACACGGCCACATCTGGGGAGCGTGTTGTGGGGCGGGAAGGAAACGGAGGATTTTTACCTTTGTTTCATGGGGATAAGGTAATATAAAATGTCTTTTGCCCCTGCCTGAAGAGGGTAGGTATAGACTAGTAATGGGGGAAAATGTGTGGCACTCTCACGGCTACTGTGTTAATGGGAAAATGTCATCAGAAACTTCAGAGAGAAATTTCTGGTTATACGCTGTGGTATAAATTCAGCATTTCCCCCACCTCTTCTTGGAAATTACCCAAAAGCTACAAGAAAAATGATAAACAGAATGTATACTGTGTCTTTAATAAAAATAGAAGGGAGTTCAGACCTACAAAATAGGTAGGAGTTTTCCAGAAACACTGCAGGGGGAGCCAGGGGTGCGTGCAGGAAGAGGGGCCACAGTCAGAGCAGGTTTTGCTGGCTCTTTCTGACCTCTCCAGTCGTGATATCCTCTCCAGGTCCCTCCTCAAATAGAAGGCCAAGGGGGTCATGATCTGGTAAGATTTAATTCAAGGGAAAACAGTAAGTGAACTGAAGAAGGGTACTTTGACAGTGGAAGAATGCAGATCACAGCAGATTAACAGTGACAAGATTTATAAAAGGAAACTAGAGCCAGGGAGGAACTGGCAAGCACTTAGTGGTCCTGGCAGATGAAGTAGCCAAAACTAACAACGTAGAAGGCCTAAACAGTAGAAGCTAATCTAACCACTTGATACTGACATCTGTGTCCTAAAAGCAGAGAACAAAGAATACCTCATTAACTCAAAAAAGCCATAGGATAGTGTTCTTTGATCCTAATGCAATAAAACTAGAAATAAATTACAAAATCAGAGAACAAAAAGCTCCCACCTCCTGAATTTTTTTTTCTTAAGTAGGCTCCACGGCCTGCGCAAAGCCCAGTGTGGGCCCGAACTCCCAACCCTGAGGTCATGACCTGAGCTGAGATCAAGAGTCAGCCGCTCAACCGACTGAGCCACCCAGGTGCCCTCTGAAACAAATTTTTTAATATCTTAATTCTTAAAGAGCAAAGTCAAGATGTCAGAGTATTTAGACAGTAATCATGAAAATACTGTATATCAGCTTTTAGACTATTGCTCAGAAAAAAAAAAAAACTATAAGCTCAAGTATTTACACAAGAAAGAATGAAAATAAATGAATTAAGAATCCAACTTGAGAAGTTAGAGAATGACGGGGGCCTGGCTGGCTCAAGTGGGAGAGTGTGCGACTGACTCTTGATCTCGGCGTCGTGAGTGGAAGCCCCACATTGGGTGTAGAGATTACTTTAAAAAAAAAAAAAGTTAAAAAAGGAACAATAAACTTAAGGAAAGCAAAAAATAAGAAATACGACCACAAATACTGAAAAAAATGTAAAGGCATTTTGAGATTTTAAGATGCTGCCGTGACCAACTTGATCAGATAAATTTGAACACCTGGAGAAAATGATTCTCTATGAAAGTATAACTTCCCAAAACAGACTCCAGAGGAAACAGGACATCTAAACAAATAGAAGTTAAGAGACAATAATGTTACAGCTTACTTCTGGTTTTGTATGTGTATACATACGGCTTTACAGGAGGGTGGGAGACAGACAACTACAGCATGGGGACAGCCAGCCACACTACCAACTCTTAAGTTGATCAGAGTTGTGATATTCTGAGTCTTCCCCTTGCTTACCGCTATTATCACACGCATTTCACTTTTGTTTATTTATAAAGCTGTGACACTTTATATTTTGCTACTTGGAATACCACCTCATTAAGTTGTTTTAAACTGATTAGTAAACAGTATTTATTTCATGCTTGCTAGTCATTTTTTAAAACACCAACCATGATTCAGACATTGACCTAAAATGACTAAGACAGAGTCTCTGCTCCCAGGGAACTTCCTAGACTACAGAGTAAGATACACATGACATAGTAGCATGGGGTAAGTATTGCTACATGGATAGACGGTGTTTGCTGGAAACTACTGCAGTCGTCCCAAAGAGAGGTAACGTGAGCTGAAATTAAAGCAGTTACAGTGGGAATTGAGAGATGGCGGCAGGTTCAAAAAACATAGAGATGGCACTCAGCCTCACATAAGCCAAAAAGAAGTTTGCCCTCCTGGCATAATTAGGTACCCATAATAAGGAAAACAGCGTAAGAAAAATAGATTTCTATAAATAAAGAATAAAAGTTAAATCACTTGGACCAATAGAGCATATTTAAAATTGAATAGGGCGAATGAAGCCATGTTATTGAAGATGTGAAAATACAAGCAGAGGAATAGATTTATGTCCAGAGTAAAAAGCCATTGAATGTTTTTGAGCATGACTGACTTCTCAAATTTACTTTTGAGGAAAGTTTTTTGGGTTTTTGGCTTTTTTTTAAACCGGTAAGATAGATTGCTTTTTTTTTTTTTTTTTAATTTTTTTTTTCAACGTTTTATTTATTTTTGGGACAGAGAGAGACAGAGCATGAACGGGGGAGGGGCAGAGAGAGAGGGAGACACAGAATCGGAAACAGGCTCCAGGCTCTGAGCCATTAGCCCAGAGCCTGACACGGGGCTCGAACTCACGGACCGCGAGATCGTGACCTGGCTGAAGTCGGACGCTTAACCGACTGCGCCACCCAGGCGCCCCAGATTGCTTTTTTTTATTAGCAGAAACCGTATCACATTCAGCTTTCTATTTCACTAGCCCTGGTAACATAGTGGTGCTCAAGAAACCTGAGGTGATGGAGGTAGAGATGCTGAGCCCGAAAGAGGGAAGACCAAATCGAGGCGTGATTGAAGATCCGGGCTTAGACAAAAAAACTACCTTAAAAACAGAACCATTTCTTGAGCAGAGATACAGCCCCAAAGAGCCACAGCTCTGCATAATTGACCATAAAGTTTGATTGGCAGTTGGTGCCCACTCGTGGACAACATAAACTTAGAGTAGAGGCAGAAGACAAAAGATGAGAAGGAAAAGGAGTAGTAATGGACAAGGGCAATTATGTAATCAGTTAGGAGGACCCTCCTTCCCCTCAGTGCATCCACTCTCCACTCTCCACCACAGATCTTGGCAAATCAGAATCCGTGATGCTGTTTGTTTGCTTTTAGTGCCTGTTGCCCTAAGCTGATTTTCTTCCCATTCCATGTGTTGCATACAGTTAATCGTAGCACATTGCTAGATATTTGCATAGTAAAACCATTTCTCTACTTAAGTTGGTCATATAAACATCCTGCAACTCTTCAGAATTTGCACCATCCTGGGATTGTAAACCTGGAATGCATGTTTGAAACTCCGGAACGAGTTTTTGTAGTAATGGAAAAGCTGCATGGCGATATGTTGGAAATGATTCTGTCCAGTGAGAAAAGTCGACTTCCAGAACGAATTACTAAATTCATGGTGACACAGGTATTTTAACTCTTTTTTGAAACGAGAATACTTTAAAATGAGAGAATTAAATAGCAGTGCTTTTTACATAAAGGGATATGGTGGGAATTATTAACCGTGGAGAACAGAGTAACTAACACTTCGGTTAAATCTTGACGAACTGTGGTGGACTTCTCCAATTATGCCATTCGAGAGGTCAGGTGGGGGTGAACTATGATTTTTTCCAGGCACTGAAAAAACTGTTTTCTTCAATAACAGATCCTTGTTGCCTTGAGGAATCTACATTTTAAAAATATTGTGCACTGTGATTTAAAGCCAGAAAATGTGCTGCTCGCATCAGCAGAGCCATTTCCTCAGGTGAGATACTCTCCGGAACCTTGAGCGTCTGACGTTACAAAGCACCCGTATAATGAAAGGCGGTGGTGTCGGTTCGGATACATAAACATGCTGACAGAAGTAATTAGCCTGTAACTGCCAGTGAGGATTAATCCTTGAATAATTTGAACTCAGAACTTATATTGTTTATTTTCATGAAGACTTTTTAGACTTCAGCAGACCTTAAGGAGTATCTTTTTTGCATGTAGACTGTTTGCAGGTCACTTCTCCTTGTGGGCAGGGAATGAAGTTAGGAGAGGCCACCTTGGTTGGTGCCTGGTGCTCAGGACAAACTCCCCATAAAATGAGGCAGAGGGGTGACCCTACGTTGGGGGACATAGATTTTGAGGCAGGCAGCCAGCTCCTCTTCCTCTTTAGGGCACTTTATTTCAAACATTTTCACCAAAACCTATGTCAGAATTACATTTCCCATCACTGCTATCACTCACATGCGTATCCCCTTTGTGTGTGTGTGTCCTGTGTGTGATGCACTGATTGTTTTACTTGGTGAAACTTCATTTCGCTGAAGAGTGTTGACCTTGATCCAAAATTATTTAATAACCTGCAAAATGGTTCATAAACCCAAAGTTTGAAATATTTTCCTGTGGAATATGTGTTGGCAGTGCCCATAACTATCACCTAGACTCTCTCCTTCAAACTATTGTTTATGTAGATTTGAAACACGCACAATTAGTTGGCTACACTAAGGACAAGTAGCTGTTTCACTTGAGTCAAATGCAACTCAGATCGTCTTTCAAAGAAAAAGACGTATGTTTAAAAATTACTCAACTCTTTTAAGGAGGTAATCCTATTCTTTTACAATGCCTGTGTGCTTAAAAGTGATTCCCTATCATTGTGAGGCCAAAAAAGGTTCCCTGATAGTTGGCGTGATGTTTTAAATAAAGTGCTTCCGTACGTCGTTACCTCATTTGATCTTCAGAATAGTTTGGGCAAAGGACGCACACCCCTACAGTGAGGCTAAAACTCCGTCTCTCTTACCTCTGTTAGGAACAAAGGGAAAATCACATCATTTACTTGACGTGCCTTTTTGCCTAAGTGCTAGCCATGGCCACACTTTATTCAGTTGCCAAACTGCCAAGGCAACTTTTCTTTATCAAGATGTTAGCTGAAATGCGGCATCTAACAACAAAAGAGTTCATATGTCTTCATGGTCGATAATCCTATTCTTCCAATACTCAAAGAGGGAATCACATTCAATAATGGCGCGGAACAGTTACCATAAAAATGTGCGTGAGGGTCCATGTCCTAGAAAGCCAGCAGCATTTGAATACACCTTCATCATACACTCTCCAGGCACTGTTGGTACTGTTGGTTTGTAGAGGCCAAATCTCTTTTTTTCTCAATGTATCATAATGCTTTTTGTGAAGACAGTTTATGAGGCAGGGCATTTCCTCCGGAAAGTACTTGGCATTTGCTTGTTCGGCATGGATGCATCATTAATCACCAAAATCTGAACATCACTAGAAGATGGGCAGCAGAAGTGCTCTGAGCTCTGCCAAGCTCATCACACTTCCAGAACTTTCTTCCCAAAAGGATATTGTAGTAACCGTGACTACCTTCAGACAGAACTTTTTTCAAATCTAAACATCTCACTAGTAATAATTTATTCCACAGTCACAGGAAACCCCTTTGCTCCTCTTTCAAGCAGCCTCGTAGTTCTTTACTACACTCAAGTTATTTGCCAATTGACAGTATCCTTGGGAATATAGGTTCTAGGATTAAACAAAATAAAGGGTAAGTTTTAAAATATCAACTTATTTTTCATTCAGCAAACATTTACTGAGGGCCTTTATGTTTTCAGGCGCTGTGAAGTCACTGAGGATTTAAAAATGAAACCTATAATTCCTTTTCACAGAAAACTGTCTCCTTTAAAGTCAGATGCTGAAAGATCAGCACCCTCCATTTCATCAAAAAACTTTGTGACCAGGGGCGCCTGGGTGGCTCAATCGGTTAAGCAGCCGACTTTGGCTCAGGTCATGATCTCACCGTTTGTGAGTTCGAGCCCCGCATCCGGCTCTGTACTGACAGCTCAGAGCCTGGAGCCTGCTTGGCATTCTGTGTCTCCCCCTCTCTTTACCCTTCCCCTGCTCATGCTCTGTGTCTGTCTCCCAATAGTAAATAAATGTTAAAAACAGACGAACAAAACTTTGTGACCACTTACAGCACCCAGCTGGTATTTGACATTGTGGAAGCTAAAACTTCAAAGTGGTTTTTTGAGATAGGCACTAGGGAAGTTTTTCATACCATGTTGGCAGAAGATCACAGGATCATAAATGTATCTGCCTTTTGGGAAAAGCATATTTTACAATTTCCCTATTGACAATCATTTGAGATTCGTGATCAGTACAGTTGGCAAGTGTGTTGAAATGATATGGTATTGGGGAGCTTGGGTGGCTCAGTTGGTTAAGGGTCCAACTCTTGATTTTGGCTCAGGTTATGAGCTGTTGGTGGGATCGAGCCCCACCTAGGGCTCTGCACTGACAGCGCAGAGCCTGCTTGGGATTCTCTCCCTCTCTGCCCTCCCCTGCTTACTCGCTCTCTCAAAATAAAAAAAACATAACTTTTAAAAATGAAATGACACAGTATCATTTAGGGACAAGCATAATAGATTGACACATAGATAATAATACAAAACTAACATTTTTTTAATTTGCAGGTGAAGCTATGTGACTTTGGTTTTGCACGCATCATTGGTGAAAAGTCATTCAGGAGGTCTGTGGTGGGGACTCCAGCATACTTAGCCCCTGAAGTGCTCAGGAGCAAAGGTTACAACCGTTCTCTAGATATGTGGTCAGTGGGAGTTATCGTCTATGTGAGCCTCAGTGGCACATTTCCTTTTAATGAAGATGAAGATATAAATGACCAAATCCAAAATGCTGCGTTTATGTACCCACCAAATCCGTGGAGAGAAATTTCTGGTGAAGGTAAAAAAAAAAAAAAAAAAAAAAAAATTATAGCTCTGTGCCCTTTAGTCTAAAAATCTTTGTGATCCCAAATCAGCCTATTTCTTCTGACTTCTCTTTTTAATTTCTCATACTCCTCTTCCAAATTCAACCAGTTACCAGTTCATGAGCACTCTTCCTCCTGACGGTCTCATCTCTAACTTCCTTAAAGTTCCCACGCCTAGCACTAACCCAGGACCCAATTTCCTCCCTTTGAAGCTACTAAAATACCTAGGGTTCTACCCGTTAGACTCTTTGACGGTGCTTCCCAGTCACCACTGCTGCCAGATCGGTCTTCAGGAAACCCTCCTTCCATCTTACTGTGCCCTTACATCACGGCCTCCCTTTAACCACATTGCATCTGTAGGTCTCTCAGAGATAGCCCAAGTTCACCTTCTGCCCTCCCCTCCACTGCTCCTGATCTAAAACCTAGCTGCTGACTCTTCTCAGCTGCTTTCTGCATTTTGCTTAGACCTTTCCCTGCCTTCAGTCCCTCCTCACTATTGAAATCCTTCCAGTCCTTCAGGGACCCCTTAGCCTGTGGCTCATCTGTGAAGTCTTCCCCGAGCCCCACCTCTGAACTGTGTAAGATCTACTTAGGCTACTAGGAGGAGATATTCTCCCTGAAGTATTCTTTATTTTCATAATTACTTATTTTCAGAGACCTGTATTTCAGGTTCTTTATACCTACAACGAATGATATAGACATTCTTCAGTTTTCAGCTCCCCTGTGGACCAATCCTAGGAGGCATGGTAACATTTGTTTTCCCTGCCTGGTGAAGGTTTTTGAGCTTGCAGGCCCTGGTTCTGTACCCATCAAGAATGCCTTGTTTGGGTCTCTTTAGTTTACGGACGCTGACAGGAAAGGCACACACTTCTTTAACAGCCCCATACTGAATAGAACCCTACTGGGGAATACCCCCACCTGGATTTAGCCAACCTTTGGAACACGGGCCTTTTTTGTTTTCCAAAAGTACCAGACCTAATCTTGGGGATTTGACAGTCCATTAAACTGGGAAGGTTTGAGGAACAACATGTAAAGGCAGTAGCAGGCTTTCTTTGTAATGAATACCTAATTGAAGAATATAGGAGGGTCTGGGTGTTCCCAGAATCCTCTTAGAGTTCCTGGGGCAGTGTGGTCTGTAGACTTCAGAATAATCAATTGGTGAGCGTACTAAAGCAAAAACCTGTGGCTAGATCTCAGAGGTTCCAGTTCACCAGTTGGAATGACACCCAAGAATGCATTTTAATAAACACCCCAAATGACTCTGATGCACATGGTGGACAACCATTTAAGGAACAATGGATAAAAGTTTGAAGTATTGAACACAGGGAAGTTCATACTTAAATACTGTGGTGTGCAGAAGAGAAACAGAAGTGGTATAATGGGACTCTTCCCCTTGGTTCAGCCCTGGGTCCAGGCTATTTAGTGTCGGTATTTCACGCGTATCGTCATACAGGTGGAAGTCAGTATGTAGCTACATGGTGGTTTTGGTTTTGTGGTATTCTGTTTCTTCAAATAAGTGGGCAAAATAAGTATGCCAAGATCTCCCCACTCACACCAAAACACCATGAACATATTTGTATAAAACCTGTTAAACCCTTTTGATAAGTGATCGTGCAAGTCCGGCCACATCTGTAGAGGCAAGGCAGTGGCTTTGGCTCCCTTGCAGACCAAGCCGGGGACTAGAGAACGGTGTCACTGGAGGACAGCAACAACACGTCAGTCTGTAATCAGTTTTTTAATTCATTTGGAAATAATAATAATACTAACACTTACGTGCTAAGTAAGCACCGTTCTAAGCCCTTTATGTGTGTTATTTCATCTTCTCAATAACCTCATGTTACAGAAGAGGAAAGTGACCCTCTGGCACACGCAGTAAGTCTACACTGTTAACCTGTACTCGACACCGCCTCTGTAACAAAACAGGCACACTTCATAAAATAGGTGCTCTAAATTCAGTGAACGTTTACAGGCCACTAACGTGTCAGCGGGAAGGCCATGTTCTTGAGAAAAGTCGCCCACCCTGTATTTCTGTGGCTTGAATGCCTTCCAGGCAGAGTCACGGTATGTGTGGGTGCCCCATACACCCAGTTCACCGGTTGGATTTTCTCTCCTCTTAGCAATTGATTTGATAAACAACCTCCTTCAAGTGAAGATGAGAAAGCGCTACAGTGTGGACAAATCTCTCAGCCATCCCTGGCTGCAGGTAAAAAAACAAATCTCTCTCTGGTGATCCCCATTGGAGCCATTCATTGTAATGTGTCTCACCTAATCAGACTACTCTAAGATCAACAGATTCTACACGTTTTAGAATATTGTAAGTGTTCTTCAGTGATTACTTTGTACTATGGCTGAATCTCTGGAAGGTTTGCTGTATACCGTTCACATGCAGAACTGATAGGCAGTTCAACTCCCATTAACTGAAAGCAATGATTTAGCCTTTATATAGAGCCTTTTATGCTTCATTTCCCCTTTCTGTAAAATAAGCATGTTATTTTGTCAAATAGATTTTGCTTTTAAGATGCCCACTTAAAAGATTCATATTTGCACTAATGATATATGAAATGCCATTTAAAATGTTTGGCTCAGGGGCGCCTGGGTGGCTCAGTCGGTTGAGCATCTGACTTCGGCTCAGGTCATGATCTTGCAGTCTGTGAGTTCAAGCCCCACGTCGGGTTCTGTGCTGACAGCTCAGAGCCTGGAGCCTGCTTCAGATTCTGTGTCTCCCTCTCTCTCTGCCCCTCCCCCACTCATGCTCTGTCTCTCTCTCTGTCAAAAATAAACATTTAAAAAAATAAAATAAAAATGTTTGGCTTAATTCCCCCAAAAGCTATTGCATAGATTTCTTAAAAGGAACCCCCGAGCTTCAGAGTAAAGAGAAGCTTTAGAACTACTCTAAAGGTGACTGGGATGGAGGTTGGCAGGTAGAATTAACTTCAAAACAAATGCACAGTTGCAGTGATTATTAAATTATCCTGATAGTAGATTCTAAGTACTTTCCCCTATTTTGAGGAGTAAGGGGGGGCATAAGGTCAGAATTTAGAACAGAATGTTTTAGTGATTATTATTAGCCATCTCAGAAGCCCCAGGCAGTTTTGTTTTAGTTTTAGTTTTAGAAACTAGTTACTTCCTTCATTAGAGACTCTAAATTTGAAAAAGTATCTTAACATTGCTAATTTAAAATATTACGAATGGAACTTACTGTATAGCAAGTACTCATAGTAGAGACTGTCAATTTTGCAGCTATGGGGTTAGGGAAAAAAAGTTCAACGTATTTTATTTCTTTTATAGCTTATAATTCCATTTTTTTCTAGGACTATCAGACTTGGCTTGACCTTAGAGAATTTGAAACTCGCATTGGTGAACGTTACATTACGCACGAAAGTGACGATGCCCGCTGGGAAATACATGCATACACCCACAATCTTGTGTACCCAAAGCACTTCATTATGGCTCCCAATCCAGATGATATGGAAGAAGATCCTTAGTTGTCAATGAGCTAACGTCAGTAAGGAAGGATTTCACGTTATGGACTGATACTTTGCCGCACAACTGTTGTTCTTTGTAGGTTATCATCTGCAAGGATGCGAAGATACGGGGAAATGTGATAAGGAATCCATGACACCAATACTGTAGTTCATCGTGAGAAGGTACAACAGGGGAAACTGAGTAATAAGAACACATAACGGAACCAAGATGAAGCTTTTCATAAATTTTTATAGCATAAGCAATGACTGGTTTTTATATTTTTTTTCCTAATCCTTCACTTTAATACTATAGTGGCATTTAATTTATCTTCCCTTTCCTGTTACATTATTTTTTAAAAAGGAGAAAAAGGCAGGCTTAGAGTCCAGCCATTGTATAGCTTGACCAAATCACACAAGAGTTTTAAAGTTGATTACTAAATAGGTTTGCATTTAAAGAGAACTGAGGAAGGGCTCCCAGCATGCGATTTCCTGTGAGAACTCTAAATATTTGACCACAGAGGCATTGAGGGGGTTTTCCTGCATGCCTAGAAGAGGAGCTCTAGACTCTTGTACCTTTTTCTTTTTCTTTAGGTCAGTCGACTCCAAAACAGTGATCCCTAACATTTTGGAGTTGAAATTCTTAACGTGCTCTCTACAAGATAGAAATTAAGTTGTCACCTTTTGTGAGTATATTGGAAGGCCCTCTAAGATAATTTTGGGGTCAAACGATACTACAAACCTGGGGGGAGAACCCACTGGTCTAAGTGCGGAGGTAGTAAGTATGTCTTTTCGGAGCCCAGCCCCCCTGTTGCGTACTCGAACTCCCATATCTGTGACCCACAGCTCTGTGACACCATGGTTGGTTTCTGACATTCAGTAGGTTTAGGTGGGAACTTTCATTACACAGTTTATCTTTACACAGAGTTGAATAATTTGAGGAAGAAAATTACTAAAAGTAAGGCCAGTGCAGGATCAGTTAATGCTGCAGGAAACAGCAAAGAGTGTATCCAGTTTTTCTTCCCTTAGTTTATTGGAAGGTTTTACAGATATCCAGAATGTTTGTAAATCAATCATCTCAAGCAGTTTGGGAGAGTGGGTGGGGTAGAGCATGAAACACTTATTCTTTCATCTGCTCTGCTGATCACGTAGCCCTGCCCTTATAAATTGTGGGGGAGGGGGGGTTGTTTTGTTTTTTTACATTTCAGCACTGGCAACCAGCTAACGAAATGTTTTTCTACTCAGATATAATATTTAAGAGGTTAGATTTTTCCATAGCTTTTAACAAGTTACTAATAGTTCCCCCCCCACCCCCGCAAAAAAGTTCAAGATCTAGCACCACCCACTTATTAAAAAACTAGTGGCTTTTTGTTTTTTCACTCCTCAGTAATCACTGTAAGTTTTTTTCCTACAAAAAGAGCAACAAAAGATTGGGAGTCAGAAAATCCAGTCTTTTATGTCTTGGCTCCAATCTATCTAAGCCTCAAGTTCCTCATCAGTCTAAAAAACGAAGATTATAACCCTTGCCTCTATTTTCCTCACAGTGTTGTGATGATCAGATATATAAGAACATATTCAATAAACTAAAAACCATAAAAGCATTAACTATCACTGCCCACTGAATTTGAGGTGGCAAAGGAAAAGAATGTCCCTGTATACAGTGTAAGAGAGGGTCTTAAGAGATCCCTGAAGCTGCTCCCTTACCTAGGACTAAAATTACTGTGGAGATAGTAGCAAACGTGGTTCCCATGCTTTCAACTCAACATGTCTTTAGTTCCCCTTATGACAGCCACGAGGGGGAGTACGTTATGGACTCCATCTCACAGATAAGGAAACTGAGGCACAGGAAAATTAAGTACCTAGATGCTGGAGGTCACAATTAGTATGTGGATTTGAACTCAGGCAGTGTGGCTCTAGTCCCTTTCCTCCCTCCTAACCATGTTGCTGCACTGCCTCCCATAAACCTCTCCAGGAAACATTCCACAGTGTCTCCTGGTATTTTCTTCTCCTACAGGAGTTTAAAAAATTAATCCAAATTAATTTCACAAAACCTTTTAGAACTATAATTTCCCTGTGGGAAAGGATGGCTTCCCAAATGTGTCCAAACTAAGTCTGTTTATATCAATGTGCTAAAATGGAGTAGTTCTAAGTCACTAGGCACCCTATTGTGGTTTTACTACAGAAGGTGAAAATTAACTGGAATGGTTTGCTCTACTTATGTAATCAAACTACAAGCCATGAAATTAATTGCACTCTTTGTGTCTGTGTTGTTGAATGCCTAAGACGTTTTCTTAAAAAATTTGTAAAGGCACTGTCAGATAATTTGGAGTAATTTACTCCAGATACTGTATAACCTGCATAACCTTTTTGTCTTGAAGTTGTTTTTGTATAAGAAATAATTGTTAGAAACATTTGGTAATGTACAAAGTAGTCTATAATGACACTGTTCAGTACATTTTTATATTTTTTGTTACATCCCATTTTTGTAAATATCCTCAAAGAAACCTGATAATAAAATGTATTTCCATATCACCATACTTTTCTATGTGAAAACCTGAGCTTATCTCTAGTAGAGGTATCCAAAGAAAATTTTATTAGATTGTGTTGTTTTCCCAGGCCTTGGTAAAAGAACTATTTTGGAAATAGTATTTGTAAATGGAACTAATGCTATATTTAAAACACTGATTTTTTTTTTTAACTACCTAAAATAAACTCATTATTTCAATTTATATGAAATCTGAGGTAATTATCTGGAGGTCTCATTTCTTGGAATGAAAGTTTAGAGTAATTACAACTACAGATTTTTCGGGAACTATCATCAAATATTCAACTACTGCCACTGCTAGAAGACTTACCATTCAAAGTAAATGTTCTAAGATACAAGGCATTGCCTGATTCCTCCCATTAAATGTAAAACTACTAGATAATTGAGAGGGGCCAATATGAGGCATTTTCACCTTCCAAATTCTCCCAACCAAGTTTTTGAGAAAAGAAAATGTGGGGAAAAAAAAAAATAAGGGTGGCTATGAATGGCCCAAGGCTGGGCAGCACGTGAAACATAAGGCCTCCATCTTCATTTTAAGAGTGAGATTCAGAATGTTAGTCCTGTTCTGAGGGAAGCCAGAGAAGCAATAAAAAACCAAGGGTTGATCACTCCGCCAGCAAACTTCAAATACAGTTAAGCTGTAAGTTCAAAACATGGCTGGTATTCTTTTCCTTTAATCTCATAGGGTAAAAAATTTTAAATACCACAAAGGAGAATGAATTTCTACCCCTCAAACCCACTTCCATGTTGGGGTTTTTGTTTTTGTTTTGAGTGAGCGAGCACGTGTGCACATACAGCAGAGGAGGGGCAGGGGGATGGAGAGAAACTTAAGCAGGCACCATTCTCTGCGCAGAGCCTGACGTTGAGTTCTGGCTCACCACCGTGCGAGCAGGACTTGAGCCAAAATCAAGAGCCAGAGAGGCTACGTTGGCATATTTGATAGTAATTACTGGCATCCTTTCCTCACTTTTTATATATAAGTAACTATCACAGAAAACCACCAGTCTGCATTATTAATTTCTATGAAATTAAGCATTTCTTTAAATGCAGCTTCTCCCCAACAAAAATGGAATCATAACTATAACACATTTTTACTTGACCACATTTTTCATTTACTACCTTCTTAGAGGTAAGGACATACTACTCTACCTCTTTTTTTAAAAATACTTTATGGATAGTTCTATTTAACCCATCCCCTGTGAAAGGCCACTTAGATTTCCAGTTTTTACTAAACCAATCAGTGTTCATGTTTACTTTTTAAAATAAAAATACAGCAACTAGCCTTATTAATTAAAGGATATTCATTTCAAGGTGCCTGAGTGGCTCAGTTGGTTAAGTGTCCAACTCTTGATACAGCTCAGATCACGATCTCACAGTTGTGGGATCGAGCCCTGCATCAGGCTCTGTCTGCACTGATGGCATGAAGGCCGCTTGGGATCCTGTCTCTCTGCCCCTCCCCAGTATGTTCACATGTACGCTCTCTTCCACAAAATAAACTTTAAAAAAATTAAGGATACTCTGTTTCATGGTAACTTGTTTCATTAAGCTGAAAGCACACAATTGTGCCCAAAGCCACACACAACCTTAAAAGATCAATGTTTAGTTGTACTGTATATAAAATGGGCTACTTTTATTGGCTGTGAGACATAAAATACTGCGATATGGATTTTACCTGTGATATATGTGAATGGGTTCCCTTTATTTTGCTTTCTTAGGCAGACTTAGGGATAAAACGTCCACATTGAGATATCACCTCCAGGCAAGTTCACCAAACCCAGCTACAGGTGACGGAGAAGGTTTTGACTGACACGCATTCATTGGATGGCTTCCACCATGAAGTCTCTGATGAGGTAGCAAGGCAAAAAAGTGAAATCTTTCTCCCATCTTCTTAGGATTCATCAACATATCATACCCCTGAAGTAACTGCTGCCTGGATGGCTCATCTGATTTGTCTGCAAGAACCTGAAAGGAAAAACTTCTTAGAAGAAATAACCAGAAGGATTTCTAGTTACATGCAACACTCATGACTGTTAGCCACTCAGTAAAGCACTACTTAAGATGGGATTTCTGATCACCTGCCTCAAGAGTCATGGGGTGCTCACTAAAAGCCCAGGTTGCTGGGGCGCCGGGGTGGCTTAGTCAGTTAATCGTCCAACTTTCGATTTTGGCTCAGGTCATGAGTTCGAGTCCCGTGTCAGACTCTACACTGAGCATGGAGCCTAGGATTTTCTCTCCCTCTCTCGCTACTCTCTCTCATAATAAAATAAAAAATAAAAATTACTGGGGGGGCGGGGGGAATGTAGGTTGCCAAGACCCAAACCTGTGGATTTGTAGGTTTAGCAAATATTCCCAGGTGGTTTGATCTGATAAACACAGTCAAGTTTTCTTAACAAACACGAACACCATTTGGAAGTCTTAAATCTACCTCACACAGAAACACAGGAACTTACAAGGCTCCCCCGCCACAACAGGCGATCTGGTTCCACCATACCCTACAATAGCAATACCAAGCATCTGGCTAACAATAGGAGCGCTGAGGCCAGACGTACTTATTATTTTAAAGGTTTTTTTGAAATACTACAAAATTTTTTGTTTCAAGTTTTTATTTGAATCCCAGTTAGTTAACACATAGTGTAACATTAGAAATACTACAAAATTGAAATATTTAAGATAGTGAAATAAATCATTACCTTCAGCCGGACATCAATGCCCATGTTTTTTAAAAACGTCTGTTGTTTTATTGGACCCAGAGAAGCTACTTTTCCCTCTGCCATTCTGCGCAAATAACTGAAGTCCACATCAGCTGTTAGGTCTGCAGTTCCCGGGGCGATAAGGACATCATGAAGCTTATGGCCACAAAATCCCTTGAAAATAATTTTAAAATGACGAATTTTTGTCCTTTTGTGGTTATCAAGATTAAGGAAATGCTATCATTTTAGTACATTTTACATAACAGCTGTTAAAAAGAAAAACGTAGCCTGAATCAGTGGTTTCCAAACTCTTAAAACAGCACCCTTTCTTCAAATGAGATGCTATATGGAAAACCCAATATAAAGTGCCGCCTGGAGTGCCTGAAGATGCTGCCCACAGTGATGGAATAGAGAAGGAATTATAATACTATAAATGAATATTCATGACAAAATAATGTGATATTACAATGCTAGCCACTGTAGAAGCCAAAGATAAAGATCTTCAATGAGTTTCAAACCTAAAAACTTAATAGAGCACACCAATTAACTTTTGAGAAGTCATCTTGCTGAATTATACGTACTCTGAAGGTGTCTGTCTTAGTCCCATCATGACCATAATCGGCAATCAGCGCAGCCCCTCCGGTCAGCGCAATGCGTTGAGAAAGTTCCTGAATAATTACACCAGCTTCAGGACACACTTCCACGTGATCCCTCGTTTCATCACTCTGGTAAAGGAACAGCTGCATCAAAATGCATCACTGAAAAGAACGGTTTCCTTGGGGTTTTTCTATAATGAGCATTTCTTGGTTACAATACACTCCTCCTCAATACGCATTATGTTGTCCACACTCAACTTTCCTCATGACGTCCTCTTTATTATATGGAACTCCCTAGTGCTTTGATGCCGTCCACTAAGTTTACAAAGATATTTTAATTTTAATCCCTCTTATAAAAAGGCATATGCCTCCCAAACCCCTAGATGGCTGGTTCATTATAGTTTTATTTATGGTGATATTATGCTCGTAATTCATATAAATATATTCCCCTGGGCTGAATGCATGGGAAAGGAATTTTTGTCTGCCTAGAATAGTGCCTGGCAAATAACAGATGCTCTAAAATTTGTGCTGAAAGAACAAATGATATAAATCCAATATAACAAGATAGACCCTAGCAAGTAAGTATGTTTTGATACCTTCTTTTAGGGCAAAAGATACTCCAATGATATGCCCTCTGTCTAGAAACCTCAGCTCATGACCTTGTACCTGAGGCCGGAATTTCCCAAGATATTCAACTATTTACTAAGGGTCCTTAATAAGTGCCTAATAGTCTAGATGATTCTTTTGATGTTTATTTATTTTAGTGCCCATTAGTCTAAAAAGTGAAATGACAGTATTAGAACTTGTCAACTTGACTAGTATATATGACATTACACTAACTCCTGAGAAAATGGGAAAAAGCGTTGGTCTTTATTATGAAAACCTGTATTAACTTTTGCTCCTTCCTAATATACTCTTAAAAATGAAGTTTTGGGGTGCCTGGGTGGCTCAGTCAGTTAGGCCCACGTCATGATCCTGCACTTCTTGGGTTTAAGCCCCATGTTGGGCTCTGTGCTGACAGCTCAGAGCCTGGAGCCTGCTTCGGATTCTGTGTCTCCCTCTCCCTCTGCCTCTGCCCCTTCCCTGCTTGTACTCTGTCTCCCAAAAATAAATAAATATTAAAAAAAAAAAATGAAGTACTGACCTGGCCTGATCTTGCCTCTAATGGCACAGAGCTAACAGGTATGGAGTCACACACACTTAGCAATTGAGTCTCTGCTCTTCGTACTGCTTACTAGAAACAAGTTACTTCAACTTGCAGAGTGCTTCCTCATCATGTACACACAAGGCTTATCGTGAGGCTTAAACAATAAAGCACTTAGCCCCCAGCTTTATTATTATTTTTTTAATGTTTATTTTTGAGAGAGAGAGAGAGAGAGAGAACACACGCCAATGCACGAGTCGGGGAGGGGCAGAGAGAGAGGGAGACACAGAATTGGAAGCAGGCTCCAGGCTCTGAGCTGTCAGCACAGAACCCAACACGGGGCTTGAACTCATGAAGTGCAAGATCATGACCTGAACTGAAGTTGGACACTTAACCAACTGAGCCACCCAGGTGCCCCATCCCCTAGCTTTATAAAATACATTACTGTGGTTGAACTGTAACCCCATGAGATTAGCCACTTCAGGCATAAACTGACACCTCGGGGTGCTGTGGTGACATACCTACCATCTTCGACCACTCTTCAAGATGGCAGATTCTGTCACCATTTGCCCCATTCAAATGAGAGGGAAAGTCATCGCTCCCTCTCTCGTGAGTACCACTCACTCAAGTTAAGAACTGAAAACAATTGTATCTCCCAGGAGCAGGGGGTTAGCTCTTGGTAGCTATGAATTTGCTTCTCACTCAGGTAAAACTGGGAAGCTAGAATATGAAAAAACAGAAATGCCCCCAAGCACTCAGGTTGCTATTTGAATTTAATCATGCTCTGGAAAAAAAAAATAATAATAATTGATAGGTTCATGTTTAAAAGCTCCTGTGATTTTGAAACAAGTAACTTCTGAGGAAAAAGTACTTAGTTATGGCCCAAAAAGTAGACCTTTTTACAACATGCAATCCAAAACCTAAACGTTCCTCACAAGTATAGGGTTTTTTGAACCCTAAACACAAGAATGGCTCTTGTGATTACTCCTTGAGGGCAAAAGCAGCAGCACATGAACCATTTTGGCAGTGTAGAATGAAGCCTACATAATCGTTTGAGAATTAAATGAGAAAATACAGAGTCACATATACAAAGTATTCATTAAACAGTTGTTGCATTACTGTACCATCAGGTAGGCAATACTATCACCGCGTGGTAGGAAGTGAGTGAAGGGAGAAGGTGAAGAACTTGCAGAGTAAGTGCTTACTAACTTCCCTGTTACATTACGGTCACGCACCCAAGAAAGGATTTTACCCCAGGCTCCTGACTCGATAGCCTCTGCACTTCCCACTCATAAAATGCACCGCATATGTTAAGAGCAAAAATCTCTCCTGGCCCCTGTAAAGCAGTAACTCAGAAAACAAGACTATGAGGATTCGCGTGGTATTCCTACTTGTATGAAGACTTCCGCTGGGGTGACACAAGGCGCCAAAACAAACCGCAGTTTATCAGAAGCTTGGGGATCAATATCGATGAATACTTCTCGCCATCCTTGCGGAGTTTTCTAAACACAAAATAACACATAAAAACTAATTCTTACAAGTTTTTTCCTCAAAACTGCCTCCCAAAAATAACTATTAATTTTCTTCTGCCATATACAAGATAGATGACTAACATTTACAAAGGATTTTACCACTTAAAATCACTTGAAGGCATTACTTCAATTCCTTCAAACAGTAAGACGGACAGATGAAAACTACTAGTAGTGGTTAGATAAGTGATGGAGCTGAAGATAAACTAAGCAGCATGGAAAGTGCCCCCTAACATGGAAAACAGACTCTGAAGGACTAATCAAAAGCTTTTGCTAACAAATCAATGCATGCTCTTTGCCTTAAAAATTACCAGGACACATACATTACCACCAAATCTTAAGTCTGCTCACTTCAGTTTCAATAAGGAAAAATTTTAATCTTTGGATATCAAAACTATTGGCTAAAACGTAATCCTTCCTTGTAATAAAGCCATTTACCATGTTATATTCTCACATATCTTTGTCCTTGGAAAAATAAGCTTTTTTATTGAAATTCAAATTAGTTAACATACAGTGTAATCTTGACTTCAGGAGTAGATTCCAGTGATTCATCTCTTACCTATGACACCCAGTGCTCATCCCAAAACGTGCCCTCCTTACTGCCCATCCCCGATTTAACCCATCCCCCCCCACCTCCTCTCCAGCAACCCTCCATTTGTTCTCTGTGTTTAAGAGTCTCTTATGGGAAATAAATATTCTTAATAGTTATCCTAAGACAATTAAGATTCTACTTAACCTTTTACTTTTGCTTTTCAATTATTTATATTCATCAGAATTCCAAACAGACTTAACTTTAACAGTAATCAAATACCATTCACGTTTATTCTTCCAACATAAGCCCCTTTGTTATTCAATTATAAATATGACTTTATCCTGTCAATACCTGAAACTTATGCACAGGAAGAACATCAAAAAATTCATGCGCAAGATAAAAGCTGTACCCTATTTAAAAACAGAAGGAAAAAATAGTTTCAGCATTAAGGCAACATCTAATCGTTCTTTTGAACATCAACAAAAGAAAGCGCCTAGCGGATCGAGTAGGAACCTGAGGTGGCTTCCACAACCATCGCTACCAGAGATCATCCACCTCAGGCACTGCTTCGCCTACTCTGAGAACACGCTCAAGACCAATTACTACCGTCCTCATTTTCCACATATCCGGACCCGATGGCCAAAACATCCCAATTATCAATTTAACCCTTTATTCATCACAGGGCATGAAAGAAATTAGAACCCAAATTTGTTAGCTAAAAGAGGCTTTGAACTTCCTAAAATCATCTGAGACAGCTGAGCCCAGGACTCGCCGAGGTGGCTTGCCAAGGTCAGACCACCACTTTAGGTGGGAGCAGAGGTCCATCAACATAGTGGATGGTCCCTGCCGAGTGCAGGGATTTTCCCACCTCTCTGAAGGTAAGCAAGGATGTTCAAAAGATGAGACAGTTAAACTCAAACCACCTAACTCTGCTTCCATCAGTCCCCACCGCCTTGGACTGCCTCAGCGACAGTGCTATCTTAGGGGTCAGGAAAAACTTAAAGGTACAATAGGGATCTATCTACATTTTTGTGCAAAACCATATGAAAGGCATTTCTCATTATTAGGCATGTTATTTTTTTAATACAATGCTACTTTCTAGAAACAAATTTGCTATTCCCTATGAGTAAGGGTCCTGGTGGCATCGCGTCAACGTACTATAGTGCTCTACACGTTTGTAGTCGCCTATCATCACTGGGATGGGTGGTAATCAAAATTAGCTCATCACGCAGTGTAAACCAATTACCTTTTGGAACATCTTGCAGATCTCGGTACCAGGAAATTGGAATCCCAGATTTAGTAACACCTTTCATATACGCGGGGGATCCAGGATTTAGCTCTAGAGGGACCTTCTCTTCAGTCAGTGTTAATGCTTGAATCTCACTCAGTTTTTCGCTCACCTCTACCAGATGTATTGAAATGTCACAGTTTTTCAGCACAGATCCCAGCTGACTGAACACCTAAATACAAAAAGAAAGAAAAAAATGGCAAAATACAATGTGTTGAGTAGATTTTAGGTTTTCTAACCATTTCCCTTAACACTTTGCTCATGTCACAGAAGTAAAATTTGGTTTCAGAGGAACTTCACACAAGCCACTCTTCAGCAGTCCGTGAGATTCATAAGCTATCAGTTATTACAGTCTACATGAAAGACGAACAATGCACAATTTGGTTTCCTAATGAGAAAAATTAGAATTAAGACTAACAAACAAACATTAACGATTCAGCATCCAGTAAATAATCGGACTAGGGAGTCTAAAGAGAGAACAAAAACATGAAATGTATATATCCCCCTGATTTTATGAAGCTGCTATGTCTATGAAATAATCTCATCTTTGAGATGTTGCAACTGTGTTCTCAGGAAATCAAATTCGAAGGGCACTAAAAACTTGACAGTTTAACTTCACAGTTCTTTCAATTTTTAATTTTTTTTAGCCACACACATTTATAACTGTTGTAAACATGAAGAAAAAAGGAGTACACTGATATTTTATCATTATCTCAATGCTAAAAATTCAATGCCAAGGCATAAAGTACGCCAATAGTATTTTTCATTTGAATGTAATTTTCACTGCTGATTTGCCTCCTATTTTTGAGATCTGAATAAGCAGGTATAGGCTAATAATAAGACAATTTTTCCAAATTTCGTTTGGAAATGAAACTACAAATGGAAAACTTCCCAAGAGAAAAATCCTTCAGAAATTATGATCAAAAAATGAAAACAAGTCCATAATTATGTCTTGTCCATTTTCTTAACATTCTTTTAAATTCTTTAGCTTTTTAAAGTTCTTAGGACTTGATCTAAAGAAGCATCCTGTATGCATTTTAAGAGCTGTGGGCTTGATTTTTATTGTACCTGAAACAAGACAATATTATTTGAGAACCTTATTAAGTATTTTGTATTCAAATGACTTTGCCAATTTAAAGCGATAAAATAGAACACTGGAAACCTAAAACAGTGGTTCATTTCTTTTACCCCCAAATATGATATAATCAGGATTATCTGTCAGATGTTATACGTTTTTTAAAATCCTTTGATTCCAAATTTCAAGCAAAAATCATACTGCATCAAGACATTCAAATGTATACTGAATATGTGTTTTTGTTTTTAAAAGCCTAATGGATTCCAAAACAGTGTAACTACAAAAGTTTAACAAACACAATTACTTATCATGTACTATAAACAATATTCCTCCTCTTTAGTGTTTTTACAAAACATTAGGTAGAGTGCTAGAAACAACAATACATGGAAAGATACCGCATCTTTGGTTAAAGTGACACGACCCTTCCCTTCGAAAACGTGTCCTCCCTCACCCTCAGATGCCACCACCATCATTTCCTGCTTTTTCTTTATAAATGTTCCTAATTGCATTTGTATCACCAAACACAAATTGTTGAATATTGACATTTGGGGATTTTATATAGATACAATCATATGATCCGGATTCTTTTACAAATTGTTATTTTCACTCACAAGACTCTGAGGTCCATCTGAGTGTTGTGCATTCTGCTGTGATTTCATGCAGTTTCACAACCCTTGATGTTCCACTGTGTGTCTGACTGTACCACAATTTATTGATCTATTTTCCCATTGATAGGCATTTGGGTTGTTTCCATTTTTTTTGCTCTTCTAAACAATGCTGCTGTCTTCTTGACCATGTTTCCTGGTACACATCTGCACTCCTGTAGGGCACACGTCTAGCAGTAAAAGTGCTGCTGGCTCATACAGTATGTTACTGTGACGTTAGCAGACGATGCCCAATAAGCACGTCTCAAAGTGCTTACCCCAAATTACACTCTTACAAACAGTGTCTGCGAGTCCCCATTGCTCCCCATCTCTCCATCTTCAACAACCCTTGGTGATGCCAAATGTGCTAATCTTGCGGACACAGTGGTATCTCACTCTGATTTTAACTTTCATTTCCTTGACTACCAATCAGTCTGAGCATCTTTTTGTTTTTACTGCCCATGAGGATTTCCTCTTTCATGAAGGCCCTGTTCACATCTTTAGCCTGACTTTTCTATTGAGTTATCTGTCACCTTCTTAATGATTGAAAGGAATTCTTCATGTATGCTAACTACCAGTTCTTTATGTGTTGCAAAGAACTCCTCCCATTTTGCAGCTTGTCTTATCACTCTCTTTATGTGTCTTTTGAAAATTTTTTTTAATGCTTGTTTATTTTTGAGAGAGAACCAGAGCATGAGCGGGCGAGGGGCAGACAAAGAGGGCTCCAGGCTCTGAGCTGTCAGCACAGAACCTGACGCGGGGCTGGAACTCACAGACCATGAGATCATGACCTGAGCTGAAGTCGGACGCTAAACCAACTGAGCCACCCAGGCGCCCCTACAGTGTCTTTGAAGAATAAAAAATTCCTAATTTCTTTAAAGAACAATAACTTCTTAAATTTAATGTAGTTGAAATTATTCCTCTATTCACCTTTACCTTTACAGCTTCTACCTTTATATAATTCACAAATTCTTTTCCCACCTAGAAGACAAATATGTTCTCCCATGATGTCTTCTAAAGGTTTTAAACTTTTCCCTTTCACATTCTCCTCTACCCTCACTTTTTAGATTACAAACAGACAACAATAAGTAATGATTCATTATATCATTCTGACATTGTATTTTAGCGGAGAAAGAGGAGGTAAGGAGGGAGGACCAAAAGCCACTGAAGTCAATGAAGTTTGCAAACAAATCAAAAGAACAAAGGTTCAGGCAAGTACACGAGACTCTGAAGACGTTCCTTTTATTACTTACCCTCAAAATATCTCCCAAGAGGGTACCCCTGCCTGGGCCCAGTTCCACCAGTTGGAAAGCTGCATTTCTTCCAGTGGCCATCCATTCACTAATGAACCATATACCTAGCAGCTGGGACAAGGAAAAAAAAACTATACTAAAATATTGTAGCGTAAAAGTATATAAAACTCCAAGGAAATATGCATTTTATGCCAGAAAGCAAAATATTTGCCAATGACCACATGTATGTCATTTACTATGTACATATATGTATGCACACCCAGAAGCCTCATGGAGGCGGCATTACAAAAGACACCACTTAGGAAGCCTAGTAACAGAGCACCATTAAAAGGCAGCCCCACTGTAAGAGGTCCCCTGACACAAGGAAGAGGCTAGCACTTCCAGAAAGGTGCTGCTGTTGGGACAGCAGACAGACATATGAAATAAGATGATGCCATTTCTTTACATTCATATGACTGATACGATTACATGGCTTTTTAGGCACAATTACCATTTTTAATACCTGGATTCCACTTCCTCTTGTGTACTACTTTCTATTTCTAAATTCATCGGGGGTTTTTATGTGGAAATCAATGAACTGGAATTCCTGAGGAGAATTGAAAATTTGTGAGGGGGGTTTCCACTGGAACTACGGTACAACCACGGCAGGGTGGGGCCTGAGACCACATCTCGCCCCACGAACTCCTCAGGGTTTTGCAACTTTTCTCCCTTCACTTTTCTCTCTCTCTTTTCTCTATTATTCTGTATTCCTCCAGCATATAAATGATTAAAAATTAGAACTTTTGATGAATCACAAAAGCAAAGGTGTAAAAGACTACTTACTACAGAAGAATACAACCTGATCTGCTCTCAAGTGTTTGTGATACTAGTTTTAATTAATGTTTGTTTTGAGAGAGAGAGAGAGAGAGAGAGAGAGAGAGAGAGAGAGAGAGGTGTGCAAAGACAGAGGGACAGAATCCCAAGCAGGCTTTTTTTGCACCTTTAGCACACAGCCCAACGCAGGGCTCGAGCTCACGAACTGTTAGATCATAACCTGAGCCAAAATCAAGAGTCAGACACTTAACCAACTGAGCCACCTAGGCGCCCAGATATTAGCTTCTTTTATAGTTGAAATTGACGATTACCTCCCCAAAGATCTGACTTATTTCCGGTGAAGTAATGAAATCTCCTTTTTCTCCTAGCATGTCACGATACACGTAATATCCCTGAGTAAAAAGAGAAAGTGGAGAAAATGGATTAACTTTCAAGTAAGTTTTGTAAAACACCCCTCCAGAATCTTACATAACGTATACAATGACATAATCATTTGGTGAGAAAGTTCCGTCTTCTAAATAAACATAAGCACTGTGACTTGATTTAAACTTTACACAGCACCAATCACATTGCAGAACTATACTATCCCAACATGACCCCTCCTTAACCATCAAGGCAGAAGCCACACCACATCCATCTCCACACCTGCCAGCCCCTCCCTGCTCCCAACACCCAACACAGTAAGATCCTGCTTACTGTGTTTATATTTCCAAGAAAAGTTTTTTTGTTGTTTTTTTTTTTTTAATTAGCCCTCTTTGTCCACAAATCCATGCCATTGCAGATGCTCTCCTTTCTCCCTGCCTGTTTCTCCCTGGCAATCTTACACTCAATAAAAGTGAATATCTGCTCAAATGTCACCTTCCCTGACCTCCTCTTCCAGCCCTCCAACTTCAGACTAAATGCAGTGCTTCCTTTCATGTGCTTATTTATTTATGTATCTGTGTTCCTCACCAAGAAACACAGTTATTCGGGATAGAGAACTATCTTATTTACCATACTATTCCAAGTTTCAGCATACTGTCTAAACTTCAAGAAATACTCAAGAATTCTGTTAAAAATTCCTCTATGCTCCTCAAGCCCCTTCTTTCACCATCTTACTCTTTGCAGGTGACCTGGGCTCCAGTCTACACAGGAAGTAACGAATGTTACAAAATAGGACTGACTCAGCTTCCTGACCCCAACTGGCCTCCACCTGCTCCCATTCGTTCCTCGGAACTCAAAGGATGAAATGCCTTCACCTTCTGCTCTTACCCAAACCTAATCCCACCACCTGTGCTCTGGACCACTGCCTCTCCTCACACAGCCCTCATAGGCCAGGATCTTGTTATCATCCCCTTCTCTTATAGCTTTAACTTCCCTCTCTCAGCAGCAGAAATATACTTGAGTCACTCTCAACTTAAAAAAAAAAACAGAAAACAACTTTTCACTTCATACAGCATCTCCCCCTCTAGCCTCTCTCTTCATAAGTGAAGATTGCAGGGATGTTTTTGTGGTGCATTACAAACCACTCTGGTAGCCTAATGAAGGCTATGGATCCCTTCATACAATGTTTTTAAATGCAAGACTTTAAAACACATAGGGTTAAAAAAAAAAAAAAGAAAAATACTTATCCAATATTTAAAAACTAAACTGATGATATAATAATATATATGCAGCTTTAGAAGTATGTTAATAAAGCCAAACTTAAGGTCCAATAAGTAACAAAGTTTTTTTTTTTTTTTAATTTTTTTTTTTTTTCAAACGTTTTTTATTTATTTTTGGGACAGAGAGAGACAGAGCATGAACGGGGGAGGGGCAGAGAGAGAGGGAGACACAGAATCGGAAACAGGCTCCAGGCTCTGAGCCATCAGCCCAGAGCCCGACGCGGGGCTCGAACTCACGGACCGCGAGATCGTGACCTGGCTGAAGTCGGACGCTTAACCGACTGCGCCACCCAGGCGCCCCAACAAAGTTTTGAAATACGGATGAGCACAATGGTATTGTGAGATACCTACGATCACTCTGTTGGGTATGACAACATCAGTGATTTCCACTAATGTTAAAGTCACAGGTATTACTGATGCCACAGGATGTCTCCTCTGTTCATAATGAGAGAAATGCTAACTTTCAGAAGCTAAGGAAGTAAATGCAAATTAAACCCACGAGATACCACCTCATGTTAGGTCACCATCAAAAACACAAGAGATGACAAATGTTGGTGTGGATGTGGAGAAAAGGGAACCCTTGTGCACTGTTGGTGGGACTGTAAAATGGTACAGCCACCATGGAAAACAGTATGGAAGATCCTCAAAAACTTTAAAATAGAATACCATATGATTCAGCAATTCCACTTCTAGAATATATCCAAAGAAAATGAAAACACTACCTCGAAAAGAGACCTGCACCTCCATGTTCGCAGCAGCACTGTCTATAACAGGCAAGACATGGCAACAGCCTGTGTCCATCAATGGATGAATGGATAAAGAAACTGTGGTATATAAACAGGAGGGCACATGCAGCCACACAAGGGATATCCTTGGAGCATCTGGTTCTGGTGACCAGGGGAGACCGCACATAAGGTACCAGAAGACCTGTTTTACACAAGGCCACTACTTTCAAGACCAAAAGATGTAGCTGGTTTAACAAATACATATATACAAACACAGAGAGTGAAACAAAATGAGGGGACAGAGGACTATGTCCCAAATGAAAGAACAAAGCAAAATCACAGAAAAAAACAGCTAAATGAAACTCAGATAAGCAATAACCCTAATAATAAAGAGTTCAAAGTAATGGCCATAAAGAAACTCAGACTTAAGAGTGAATGAATGCACTGAGAACTTCAAAAGAAGACAGAAAATATTCAAAAAGAACCAGTCAGAGCTGAAGAATATAATAACTAAAATGAAAAATATCCTAGAGGGACTCAACAGCAGATTAGAGGATGCAGGACAGATTAGTAATCCAACAGGGTAATGAAAAGCAAACAAACTGAAGACCAAAAAGAAAAAGAATTTAGGGGTGCCTAGGTGGTTCAGTTGGTTGAGCATACAACTTAGGTTCAGGTCATGATCTCACAGCTCATAGGTTTAAGCCCCACATCGGGCTCTGTGCTGACAGCTCAGAGTCTGAAGCCTGTTTAGATTCTGTGTCTCCCTCTCTCTCTCTCTCTGCCCCTCCCCTGCTCGTGCTCTGTCTCTCTCTCTTTCAAAATAAATAAGCCTTTAAAAAAAATTTTTTTTTAATGAGAATAAGTTAAAGGAATTCTGCAACATCTTCAGGCATAATAGCATTCACATTATTAGGAATCCCAGAAGGATGAGAGAGAGAGGTTGGCGAAAATCTTATTTCAAGAAATAATAGTTGAAAACTTCCCTAATCTGAGGAAGAAAGCAGACATCCAGGAAGCACACAGAACACCTAACAAGACAAACCAGGGAGGTACACAACAAGACACATAATAATTAAAACCACATAAAGTAATGATAAAGACAGTCTTTTCTTTTTTCATTTTTTTAAAATCTTTCTTTATTTTTGAGAGAGAGAGAGACAGAGTGAGAGCAGGGAAGGAACAGAGAGAGAAGGAGGTGCAGAATCCGGAGCAGGCTCCAGGCTCCAAGCTGTCAGCACAGAGCCCAACGTGGGGCTTGAACTCATGAACCATGAGATCATGACCTAAGCTGAAGTCAGACGCTTAACCGACTGAGCCACCCAGGTGCCCCGATAGAGCACTCTTCGAAGCAGCAAGAGGGGCCCCTGGGTGGCTCAGTCAGTTAACCATTCGACTTTGGCTCAGGTCACGATCTTGCATTTCATGACTTTGAGCCCCGTATTGGGCTCTGTGCTGACACTTCAGAGCCTGAAGTCTGCTTTGGATTCTGTGTCTCCCTCTCTCTGCTCCTACCCAGCTCATTCTCTCTTAAAACTAAACAAACATTTAAAAAAAAAATTTTTTTTTAAAGAAGCAAGAGAAAACTGTAACATACAAGGGAAACCTCATAAGGCTATGAGCTGATTTTTCAGCAGAAACTTTACAGGGAACAAAGGAGTGCTATATTAAAAGCACTGAAAAGAAAAGACCTACAACCAAGAATACTCTACCATGCAAGATTAAAATTCAGAATAGAAGGAGAGACAAAGAATTTCCAAAACAAGATAAAGGAGATCATCATTACCAAACTGGCCTGACAAGAAATGTTAAAGAGAGGGGAGGAGGCAAGATGGCGGAAGTGCATGGAAGCTTTTTGCATGTCTCGTGTCCACAAAATACAGCCAGACGAGACCAACACTAAACCATTCTACACACCTAGAAAACTGATTGGATTAACACAACAATCTGCACAGCCTGAACCACAGAATTCAGCAGGCACATGGCGTGGAGAGCTGAACTTGGGAAGCGAGAAGCCGTGGAAGGTAGGGAACCACTTTTGCGGGTGGAGAGAGGATGGAGACCGGAGGCGGGGTGGGGGGGGGGGGGGGGGGGGGGGGGGGGGGGGGGGGGGGGGGGGGGGGGGCGCGGATACGGGAAAAGTATCTAAAAGTATCTAAAAGCAGCTAGAGGACAAAGTGGAAAATTGGAAACAGCCGCAGGGACTAAATTAAAAAGGGAGAAAGGAGAGGGTTTAACTTCCATTAAGACTGTAAACAAGGGGAGCACAAAGGCTGCAACTCAGCCGCTCAATACCTGGCGGTGCTCCGGTGGGAAGGGCGAATCCCCAGGAACAGAGTGGGGTCCGGGAGGTTCTTGGGCCACACAGGGAAAAGTGGTTCCACTGATGAAAGGACATTTGGTAGAGACTGTTGAAGCCACCTGGTCCCAGTAGACCCCAGAAGGCAGCCACATTCGCTGGTGCTGGGGCAAGGCCATTGAGAGTGAGGCCTGGTGCCAGATGTGTGTTGTGATTTTCCATAATCCCTGAAATGCTGCGCTACACTGTCTTGCGACCATTTTCTGGGACAGGCTTGCACCTGGCTGCAGCCTCAGGACATCGGCAACAGCAGGATACAGCAGGCGTTCCTGGGTGCAGATGACGTTCGGCCACTGCTCATTCGGCTATCGCTCAGTGAGACCATCGTGCAGAGGGGCACAATGGGTCAAAGCCACAGTCCTTCAGAAGTAAGGGGCCAGGGAAAACAACCGCATCTGAGACAAAACTTGGGAGAGAGGTACTGCCTGGGGCCTGATCATGGAGAGTGAAAAAGCGGGGAGTGGACAAGAGCTGAAGACAGAGGATGGGTGTGCGATTGCTGATCCGGGAGAACAGACTGGGTAGTCGCGAGGCACCATTTTCTCCACTCCCGTGCATGCGCATATGCACCTGCAAGTGCCGCAACAATCCACCCCAATAGGCTAGCAGCGCCATCTAGTGGAGAGCAGAGCTGTTACACTGAGCCCCACCCAACTGGGCCAACC